AATTCGTTACAGCGGCAAAATCTTGACGTATTCATAAATACTTTGTAAAATGCGGATAAAAGTCAATATTAAATTAATAAATAATCAAGATATGTGATGAGAGACACAAGACTACATTATTAATGAACATTATGATTGAGATTGTAGATATATTATTGATCAGTGATATTTTAAATCTGCATGTACTATTTTTTGTATTCTTTGCATATTCTCTATTTGCATATATAAAAAGTAATAAGCAAGAATTTGTTTATGTGTGCGTGGGAGGGAGGGAAGCTTAGCGCCGACATAAGGCCAGTCGAGAGAGGAGAAGCTTGAATTGACGTTGATTGGGCGTGCGACAAACATCCGGCCGCATTTCATGTCCCATGAGTGAGTGCGCCTCTCTTTCTTCGTTGCACGGCACGTTTGCACCGCGGAATAGATCGGACGATTGATCCTCGTCTTATTAAAGAGAAAGAGAAACGGAAAGGAAGAGGAAGAAAGAGAGACTAAGTCGCACCTTTATTTGCACGTGAATCTTGCACTTCCGCCTTTCACTCCGCGCATGCATAATACGCATTCAAGCAGATTTTTCGCGATTGTATATTATTTCTCTATTGGCAATATTTGCTGCATCCATCGTATATTGAGAATATCGCGAATTCTTGGATTAACGGTAAAGGAATTATTCAACGGAGATAAAAACGTACCTTTATTTATTTATTTATTTTTTGACAGTCGACGGAAGGCGGTGATGTATTATTTCATGGTTTTCGCGAGGGAAAGACTCGCGCATTGCAACGCCGAAAAAAAAAAAAGAAGGAAAGACATCGTTAACGATAAATTACCCGCCGCTGTCCTTTTTGTGTCTCAGCATCCTACTTTAAATAGCGTTTACGCGTCACTGTCCAAAATGTAAAACAACGATTTATCGCGTGATAACGCGCCCGCGCACAAAAACGGCGATGCATAGCTGCAGACGACGCGACAGCTGACACTATCGCGGCAGCGCGACGAGGCAGAATCCTACGAGCGATCTAAAATTGCCCACGTTGTGCGTCGCCGTGGATTCCGTTAATTTGTTACTGCCATCGTGATAATGCTTTTTGCTGCGGGAGAAAAAATGACATTTTTTTGAGAAAATGCCGCTTAAATATTCGTTCTACGCCACATTCTTATGCAAAACACCGAACGAGAAATATCACTTGTGTTACTATAATAATATCCGTTTAATTTTATATAAATATGGTAGTCCACATATTTTTGTAACATGATAAAACTTTAATTGTCATTTTCTTCAAAATTGTTAAAAAGATTTGATCCAAAACTCTACAACGCGTTATAGTGAGAAGATTCGAAATGATAAAACAATTTAAACGATTCGATGTAAATGGATAGAGTATATATATAGCTGAACTTAACTAGACGATTAATCAGGAGTAGTTCCCTGTCGGTTGTTTCAATCAAATCGTCGGTCCATCTGATCTTATCTAGATTGGCAGTGCAATTATAAATAGCGAGATATGCAATGTCTCGGAATATAGTTTCGGAGATACCGCGTCGCCAATAAGACTGTCCAGTTCTGGCTTATATAGATGGTTACGAAGCCGCCAGCATAGCATGTGAAATTACATGTCAATGTCCATGTCGGTCTGTGTTAGCCTTTATGATTGACGACAGAGGCGGATTACTCGTGTACTAGTGATTAGTTACAGAATTCTACCATGTCACGAATTATCCTAAGATAAGATCGATCTGCATAAGATCATAGCATTATCATTTAACTCGAAAGCGTATATATGTGCGCGACGATTTATGCGAGACGATATCTCGGTCTCTGAATAACAGACTATTATAATAACAAATTCTCTCTCTCTCTCTCTCTTTCCCTATTTCCTTTCCGGTATACTCCGATATGAAGCAGAATTGTTTTGAATATTTTATAGGAACAAATACGTCTGTTAGTATTGCAACGCAAAGTAAATTATGATCCGGCGTCGGGGGAGTGCTTCCCGTTTCGTGTAAACGTGCGGTTTACATTCTTGAAGTTGTTTGCTACTCGGCAGCACACTGTCACGCTGTGAAAAATATATATCCCGAACTTTTTCCGCTGACGTAAGCGATGTTCGGTTTTCAGAAAACAGAAACCTCGCCGAAGAAAACTTGTTAAGCTCTCTTTCTCTCGCCCCCTGACAGGCAGATCGGTCGGTCGCGTAGGAGAAATTATACTTTAATTACTTCGATTCCCGCGCGGAAAAAAACTTGGCGTGTACGTAATGACTAAAACATCGGTCACACGATATAATTTCCGCACCTTTGGAAATATATCAGCGCCTGTCGCTCACGCAATACGCTTAATTTCAGTCGTTGTATTTCGCGGGCGCGCATGTTCGCGCCCACCATCTACACACGTGCGCATTATATAATCATTATTACAGTATATTTCGACAAATACCGCGGATGCAATACTTGCATGCATGTCGTCTCGCTATCGCGTAGACAGATTGAATGTGCCGTGGAAATGCCACGAATGAACAGAGGTCTCGGTTCATTCGTCGGGTTATTCGTCTTCTCTAATTAACTGCAAATTTACTTCCTTGCCCGCGAATGCATGCCACAGAATTGCAGGATATCGAAGAAAACTGGAATTGGAACAGTTATATTGCGAGATATATATATATATATATATAATATATATGTATATGTACGTACTCTCCTTCTCTCATGCATATGTATATTGCTCGTATATGCATGTACATATATATATTTCCTCGTGTTTGATTTAAATTGGATCGTCTCTAAGACCGAAGGCATCTGCCAATTTGCTGAGTCCACAAACTATTTCGTCCTTGCGCGAGTTACTTGAGCTTTCTGCGCATACGAGTTCTCGTATATCCAGTTAGTTTATATTAACAACAAAAGATATTTGTCTGCTGAAAAAGTTCTTTGTTCGCAGTGCTCGCGTGCAGAGAATATTAACTATTTTGTATTATATATTTAAATTCAATTTTGCGAAAAACATTGGAAAATTTTAACGTTCATTTTCTTATTGAAAAAAGAAAGCCAAGAAAGTTCAGGTGTCTTGTAGTTTTCGATCGTGAGAAGAAATTAGTGTAATTTTCCTGTATATGCGATTTTCTTGATAAGAGAACTGTATATGTATATTTATATATAATGGACGGTGTGTTGGCTGCGTGACAAAAATATTTTATTACTCCGAGGCATGAAAATACGTTGCTGCACTAAGTTAGATTAATGTCTTTTGATATTACCAATATTTCTATATCAATATAAAAATTATTTTTCACTGAATTTTTGCCCCGATGCTGTGTTCTCTATTTATTATCTTCACGCGAAACAATGATAAACTGTATATATGTATTTTTTTCGTTTATTATTCCCGCCAGAACTTGTGACTATAAATTCAAAACTGACTTGACTTGCAATTATCTCGGCCGACTATTATCGAGAGCATAAAGTGTTATCACTATCCGTGTATTTCCTTAATTGCTTCTCTTTTAACGAGATGCTTATCAACAATCTATATTATATATATATATACGTGTATTTCCTTATTTGTTTCTCTTTTAACGAGATGCTTATCAACAATCTATATTATATATATATACACAATATATACGTGTATTTCCTTATTTGTTTCTCTTTTAACTAGATGCTTATCAACAATCTATATTATATATATATATATATATATATATATATATAGAGAGAGAGAGAGAGAGAGAGAGAGAGAGAGAAAGAATTTTCTGTCGCGGAAGTGATCAATAAAAATCAATTAAATTTCTTCCATAACGTGACTATTATAATAAAGCAATTCCCGCGGGATAATTGTTGAATGCTTCCGTTTACATTGATTTCACGTTTCCACTTTTCCGCATCGTTGCAGCCGCGCCGCGCCGCGGAAAAAAGACGTCAAGGGAAATTGTCTACGACGCGCGCAAGTGCACGAGAGAGATTCCTTGCAGAAGATGCCCTACCATTAGCAACGACGTTGCACGCGACCACGCAATTTCAGAGTTACAAACTGGCGAGCACGATGGTCAGCCAACTGGCGGCTCTAATTGGCCCGCTTTGCTTTGCTTGATTACATACAAAGTAATTAAAAGTGTCACCATTCTACTTTATTTCGCGCCAAACGACTCACCTCATCTCCCACGCGCCGCGTTCAATACTAATCGTTCCGGTATTAAAACCCGCTTACGCCGATGTATTTTCCATTAAATGATCGTTAACATTTGCGAGCTATTATCGCAAGTACTATTGTGAAACTACGCATTCATATTCGAACGATTATCGTTATTTCAAACGATTTATCATAAATCCAGTGTAAAATAATGTAATTCCACTCTCGCACGTCGTTATGACTTTATTTTCGTGCAAAATGTCAAATTTCAAAATTCATAATCCGAAAAACTTGTACAAGTGTTTTTCTATGAGCGTGTCAAGTTTGAGGAGAAAAAAGTTTGTGAAACTTTCGTTCCGCAACAGATGCAGCGCATAAAAAGTATATCAAGTATTGTCCCGATTACGAAGCTCGCGGACATTGTCGCTTGCGCAAACATGTTTTCTATCGGTAAATTTTCCACAAAAAATTAAAGCACAATGTACTTTCAAAATCATCTTAATTAAATTAAAAAAAAATTGTACACTGAAAAAGTTGTTAACTTGATTAAATCGTTCAACTAAATACTATTTTGTCAATTGAACATATAGAAATATTTAAATTAAACATAACATATTAAATCTAGCAAAATAACGTATATATATTTGACTTAAATACTAATATATGTTCAATTAAAAATAGTAATTTAGTCGAACGGTTTAATCGAGTTAAAAATTTTGTTCAGCGTATATTACACAAAAATATGAAAGTACAAATATATGGAAAATACATATTAGCATATGTATAATTCCGATTTAACTTTGCAAAAAAAAACATCTCCGCTAATTGCGAGACAAAATGATATTTTTGAAATATCCCAATTTTTCGCACTCACCTGGACAGCGGGCCGCTGCTGATGATGTAATGGGTGTAGTAAAATATGCTGGCGATGGAGATGAGAAGTAGCGCCAGGACGCATCGCTTCACCGTCGCCTGCTTGACGACGTAGCGCGGACCAACGGCGCCTAATAGAGGAACGCCAGCTTCGCTCGCGGTTATCCTCATCACCATCGTCTTCCTCGACGACGTTCCTCTGCGAATGCGACAACGCCTTGACGTGGATTATCGCAAGGTGTCCGTCCTTGAGCGAGTCAGCGGACGCGTTTGCCTGCGGCACGCCGTTGCGACGTTGTTCAGTGGATCCAAATATTCCAGGTGATTCCGCGACAGTTTCAAGAATCGTTGACAATTCCCGGAGAGTGTCTCTTTCGTCTGCTCAACGTCGAGCGTCTTCGTCGCCATGGACTCGCTTCGAGCATTAATTAATATGCGTAATATTGACGACTCTGCGATGTTCCAACGCGTTTATCAATACGTATATTAACTTATTATTATTATTAGACCTTCTCGCGCCTTTGGAGAAGCGTCGTATAAATTATTCTCTAATTTATATATGCATCTCATCGACGGTATCGGTACGTATATACGTATATATTCGAGAGAAAAACCAGCCGGAATTCAGTTAAAATCCCAGGTCGGAGATACTCCTCGACTATCTTTCGATCTCACGATCAATGAAGTACACTTTGACGAGGTTAAGCAACAGCATCGGATCGAAGCTTCTCGACTCTCGATTCGTTGGCCAAGATAAATCTACTTAGTCCGGCAAAGAAAGCCCACACCCCGACGAAGAAATTTCGAGGCGATCGTACTCGAGGCGGGAGAGAGAAACGGATTCAGAGTTCATTAGACGCGCTTAATCTCGCCGGTTCATCGCGCACATCCGTAGAAAACAACGACGATCCAACCCTCCCGCCTCCCCCCCCCGGGTCTTGATCGGTCCTGGATCAAATCGCCTCCTCGTCCGTCTATCGGGGTAACATCGATGACGTCTCAGCATCGAGGATCCGCACGCCACTTGTTGCACTTTCGAGAGCGCGCTACGATCGCCATTTTGCAAAAGCAGCACGAAGATCGCGCCGTCGATCGCGGAATTCCGCCTTTAACCCATCTGGCCGGATTATCGTGGATCGGATGCTTCACGAAAGTCTCTCAATGTCGAGCCGCGCGACGTCTCGTCATCCTTTCAAGGGATCCCGATCGCGCGCGAATTAAAAACTCGCGAGGCGAAGCTCTCTCGCGAAAAACGCGCGCCGTCTCATCGTCGATCAGGAATCCCGGACGTTGCGCAATTTCAGGCACGACAAATTGCGGCTCCGTTATTCTCCTCTCGGTTGAGAATTCCGCGTTCTACGCGAAAGAGACGAGCAGACGGGCCGTGTCTCGAAAAGTCTCACATCCGCGTGTTCTTACCGAGTTTTCGCGGACCTTTCCTATTTTCGCTCTCGCCGAATAGCTACCGCCTGTTTCCGGTGTCGTTTCACGGCGAGTCGGTTCACGGCTCAACCATTTGTTATGGTGCACACGACCGCCCCTAGACACCACCTTGGACCCTACGACGTACAAGCAAACCGACTCACTCGTAAATTTCGAACGTTCCGTGTCTTCCACCCTCTTCTCATTCCCGGTTCTAGTTACCCGCCGCTGGCTCTCCCTCCTCTATCTGTCAATTAGAAACGATGTACAGACGCGATGCTCTCGCCTTCCTACGCGAAACAATTTTCAAAGTTTATCTCTTTGCGTCGGCGACCCTCCTCGCGCAGCGTCGGGGAGTACCACGAATCCCATGGTATCGCTCTGCAACAATCAGAATGAAACGAGAATATTAGACGATATAAAGGAAGATAAATATGTACAAGTAGTTATCTTGTTATTTCGAGACTATTGTTTCCTCAGCAAAAATATAATGAGGCATCAATAATTTTCGAGTTTCAAGTTATAAGCGATTAAAAATTAAAGGGTTTTTCACAAATTAAATTAAATATTAACAAAACCACATTTTCCAATTAATTTCAAGTAGAGTTTACTTTAATTTAATTTTAATTTTAATTTAATATAATTTTAATTTAAAGTTTAATTGTAAAGATACTTGATGGCAAAAACTGGAAATATACCAAAAATGATGGCCTCCCTCGACATTTCTGCCGAGGAAAAATCGTCCATGTCACAGACATCCCGTATATACGCATGAAATTTTTTCAGTCATCAATTAAAGCTTGAAATAATAGCTCTATTTTAAAAGAGTTGATGGATCGGAAGATACCAACCTATATCTTTGAAAAGGATCACTTTTTCCAACCGCAATTATTGTAAAGTTACAAATCAATATTGACAACAATCAATCGCTCGGTAACAATGTAAAAGGGATGATACGCGCGCGCAAGTCATCTCGGGACGATTAAACAACAGCGGTCAGACGATTACGGGCGCCCAACAACTCCAATTAATCGAGTGTACTACAGCCATAGCGCAAGCTTCCGTTGCCGCGAACCTCCTCCCGACTAATTTTTTCTCACCGGTTATACATCCGCCCTCGGCAAAAAGTCCATTAATCAGTCCTTCGAGCCTCCCCCGAGCGAGCGGCGATACAAACTTTCGTTTTATCTGTTGTATATTCGCGCGAGTCTATTCATCGTCGGACTCTTCAGGAGGAAGGAAAAACGAAAAATGTGATAAAAGGCGTCGGGGATAAATTGAAAATGAGACTGCGGAGAAACGTAGAAATGTATAGAATCGATGTCAAGGAGGCCTTCCGGGAGAATATCACCTTCTTTCTCGCACTCTGTCTCTTTCTTTTCCGTCTCTCCCAGGAGCTGACCCGACCTTTTTCCCAGGGAAAATATTGATACCGTTCGGGGTTGATTTTGGAGGAATCAGCGGACATGGAGCGGATAAGTTTGGAAGAGAGCCTTCTGCTCTGCTCTCTCTCTCTGCGTTGCGCGGCGACGTTGGCGCACAGAATTTAATTACACGGCCGGAATGACTGACACGCTAATGGATGGATGGGGGAGAACTCGTCGAACTTTGGCAATACCTTCCCCGCTTTTCTATTCCGCCGTACGCTCGATCGAAATCCTCCGTTCTTTGACTCGCTGACGTGTAATGATGAGATAGTTCGCTCGGAATGAAACTCGGCGCGAAACAAATGCCTGACGCGAGCACAATGCACGAAAATTGAACAACGACAATTGTTATACGTTTACCTGTTAGATGGGAAAATAGAACAGAATATATATTGTTTCTTCAACGTCACGCGTTATTTATATCGAATTAATGTAGTGTTTTTCACGCAATACACGTATAATTAAATATCGATGAAATTATACTAAAAGCGACTAATGCAAATAGTTGAAAAAAATGTACTTTTCTCGCCTATATCGTTTTATTATGAATATAGACGTTCAAAAGTCATAACGTAATATCTCTCTTTAAATGTTTCACGTGGGTGATATTACAAAATACATATAGTCGTTATCTCCTACGTTCTTTAAGCAACCCCAAAGTTATTTATTTCGCTAAACAAAAGCAGTAAATAAAATTTATCGCTATGGCAACCCCGGTTTTATTCAGATATATGTGAAAACATCCCTACTAAGATCTCCCTAATTCCCTCTAGTACACATTCAGCCGTGTAATATTTTCCGGCTTTATACGCACTGAAGCAACTTTTCTCGCGAATTCCGCTCCACGTGGAGTCGATTCGTTTATTGCATAGAAATAATTCCTTCGAGGTTCCTTCTAGATCCTACCCGGTGCCGGGTGCTTAATTCAAGAGACACGTTTTAGCTCCCCGAGAGAGTCGTTAGTCGAATGCATCACGTGCGCGGATTTAAAGGGAGAAGCCACGTAGGTGCACGGGGGTCGAGATTGCACAAGGAAACTACTCGATTGGCGCAAAATGATTACGGGAGCTTCCTTCTGATTATTCGTTCGAACGAAACCATCTTTCTTCCTCCGCCAAAGAATCTTAGCTTTCCTTCGCTCTCCCGATTCGCCCACGTGAATCCAATTTCATTTCGGCTATCTAGAATATTCCGCCATATACATGCATCTTTTATACATATGCATGCGTGCATTTAATTTGAAATGAGCATATTTATAAAAATGCAACTTGATGTTTTTAATCTAAAAAATGCATTCCGTGTAATTAAATTTTAGTTTCTTTCTCCAATATGCTTCTATATGCACTTTTAATATGCACAAGTTTGTGAAGTTAGAATGGAAGTGTAATAAATATTAAATAGAAAACACGGAGGAACAATAAAAGATATGAGCAATCCTGTTTATGGATGTTTTGTCACACGTCGGATGAAGAAATTCAGGAACATTGATCTGGAAACGTCACATCTGTTTCTCGTGGAATGATTGGTGCGTTTTCTTTTTATTTCGTCGTGAAACAAAGGGCCGCGAAATCGGAGTTTCTCCCGAGAGAGTGTTTTATACATATAGGAATCTCCCAAGCGAGATATATTTTTTTGGAAGATGAGGTATACGTGAAAACTCTAGAATTTATCACCTTCTTCGCAAAAAAAATGAAATAAAAAGATGTAAAGTGTGTTTTTCAAATATAACATTTTTTTCAAATACATATATTAAAGTCTTTATATTAAAAGTATAATAAAACAATTTTACAAAAATTAATAATGTTCTCCATCAAAAGTGAAAAGCACGTAATAAAGAAAATATTTCGTCTCTCAGAAACTAAATATCTATTATTTACCGCACACACGATATTGTCAATTCCAAAACTAATCTGAGTTTTATGGGGTGTTTCCTAATCCAAATGAGAAAGAATCTAATGAGAACTCTATGTATGCATCACGCATTAATGTGTGTGGACCAATTTCATTATTCGATCGAGCAATCTCTCGAGTGTAAAGAATATTTTGCTGCTTCATTGAGCGCTTCAAGTGTTCAAATAAAGGAATCAGTGAATACCCACCCGCGTTGCAACAAATCGCGAAATCACGCGAGTTTCATTTCCGAATAACCGACAGTCGAAAATTGTTGTTGGCTTGTCATACGAACAATCTTTGGATCATAATTTCTATCGCACACATATAAAAAAGAATATAACTTTATGTTCTTTTCCTTTTTCGACGACCATATTCCGACGGCGGTGAACATAAAAAACAACGGAAATAACGCCTATTGCGCCCTCCGGCTAACCGGTCGGACGACGACGCGGTGGTCTCTCGCTTTCCGGCGCAATTCGTTGCACGTATATACGCACGACGTAGTCTCTTGCGTACGCATACACATAAATGCTCATGCGTATATGTGAATTTTTTGGTCAGGATAGAAGCGTGAAATTAAATCCGAGGAACGCGGCGAGTGCACACATACACATTTATATATATCCATCTGTACACTTTCACAAACCTCCGCTGTTGCTCCGGTTGCGTATGCACTATGATATCGCGATATAATAAAAATGCAGGCCGCCCGACATCTCTCTGTGGCCCTCCCTGTAGAAACAGATGGTTCGCGCGAGAGCGAAACTTTTCAAAAATATATATACGCGCGCAAATTTATTATTTATGCGTGCTCGATCGGCAATCATATTCAGTACGTGAATTAAAATAGCAAATTTTATGCCGAGAGGCAATATCAATAACGCATCGATAAAATCTGAATACGAGGGAAACATGTATATAATAACATATGCATGTTACGCATGTTATTGCACGTTAAATTAGATACACGTGCGCGAGATAGGTAATCGATTAAATTGACACATTTTAAAAAATTGTGTTTTAAATCTAAGGTGTATTAGTGTGCGCAAACACGTACAGCGTGTAGACGGAGAAGACACTGGAAATGACACTGGAGAGAACGTGTCTTTGCTCGAGTAAAGGAAATCAAATATCCTGCCCGATAATTACAAGCCACGTGCTGTAAGAAATAAGCGCGCGTCGCGCAGACGGGCGAGGAAATTAGCTGAGAATTTGCATACTGCTCGTTCGCGAGCAACATGATTATACGGAAAGGTTCCAATGTCAAGAAAATATCTGCAATTCATCGTTGCGCAAAAAAAAAAAAAAAAAAAAGAACCACGCGTAATAAACAGAGGAACAAGGCAAATATTTTCTTTATAATTAAAATTAAGAGCAGAAAAATTTATTTTATAAAATAAATAAATTGGAAAGATGTTAATAAACGTATAAAATTTTTAGATTTAATTTAATACTGTGTTTAATGTTTGTTAAAGTCTTTCGAAGACATCGAAAAGACGTCGGTCTTACAAATTAGAGCGTAAATATAGTAGAAAATTTTGCAAAATAATTAAAAGACTAATTCAGAAATAAATAATCCAACTTAACGGTTGGGTTCGTGAGATTATTATGACGTCGAAGAGCATCGAAATGGCGCGTTAACGGTTAAAATGAAATGCCAGCATATACTGCAGCGAGGTGATACCCCGCGGCTTGGCAGTAGTTTAAAAGCCGCGGATGAAGTACGGTCTCAGCATATTACCCGACTTAAAAAGCAATTAACTAGCTGATGGGGTGCACGGAAAATTTTTTTCGTACGCTCATTACAATGCGCTTTTTACGATCATTTTGTGTAAATCAATGCTTCTCATTATTCATATATCTATTATTCTCTCCTCTCTATATATCTCTTTCTTTTTTCAAAGTTATAAAAAATGCTATTATATTTGAAATCATCATATATAAAATAACATCTTGTTTCCCGGAAATATAATGTATGAGAAATTTAATATTCGCTGTTTTTCATGCATTTTCATGATTTAGTTAAAAAAATTGAATATAATTATAGAAATATGCAGAAAA